TGGCTTTGAACCGAGATCCTCAGATCTCAGCCTCCTGAGTAGCTAGGATTACAGGTGTGAGCCACCAGCGCCCGGCAACCCTCCATGTTTCTAGTGCTATTTTGGACACTTTTTTTTTTTGTTGTTGTTCATGGGGCTTGAACTCTGGATCTGGGCATTGTCCCTCAGCTCTTCAGCTCAAGGCTAGCGCTCTACTACTTGAGCCACAGCACCACTTCTGGCTTTTTCTGTTTATGTGGTACTGAGGAATCAAACCCAGGGCCTCATGCATATGAGGCAAGCACTCTACCACTGAGCCACCTTCCCAGCCCCTATTTTGGACATTTTAATAACATTAGTAACACCATTCACAAGCACTCCCTGTAATCCATGACTGCTCATTACACTTGTAAAGAACTACAGGAAGGCATCCACATCCCCTTATCTGAGATGTGGGGAGACTAAGGGACTAATATTGCCCAAAGCTACACGAGTTAACCAAACCTGGGCTTGAAACTCACAATTCTGTCTTGTGTACCATAGCAAAAATGATGTACACCAAGTTACTGAGCTAATAAACACCATCTAATTCAAACAAACGTTTTCATAAAATGTTCAGTTAAAATTTTTTATTGAAATCATCTTAAAGAGCTGGGCACCAGTGTGGCTCACACCTGTAATCCTGGCTATTCAAAGGCTGAAATCTGAGGATCATGTTTCAAAGTCAGCTCCAGGCAGAAAAGTCTGGGAGACTGTTATCTCCAATGAATGCCCCCACCTTTCCCCTGCCCCCTGCAAGTGAAAAAAAAATCCCAAACTGGAAGTAAAGCAGTGTTTCAAGTGGTAGAGTGCTATCCTTGAGCAAAAAAGAAAAGAAAAGGAAAGGAAAGAAAGACAGGCAGGAAGAAAGAAAGAAAGAAAGAGAAAGAGAGGGAGAGAAAGGGAGAGAGAGAAAGGAAGGTAGGAAGGAAGAAAGCAAGCAAGCAAGGAAGGAAGGAAAGCGAGAGAGAGAGAGAGAGAGAGAGAGAGAGAGAGAGAGAGAGAGAGAGAGAGAGCGCACAGCTCAGGGGCGGTATCTAGGCCTTGAGTTTAAGCTCTAGGGTGATACCAAAACCAAAAACACAAAACCCCATGACTTTCAGGCAGACAAATCCTAAAGATTCTTTTATTTTTTTATTTTTATTTTTTTGTCGGTCGTGGGACTTGAACTCTGGGCCTGGGTGCTGTCCCTCAGCTCTTCAGCTCAAGGCGAGCGCTCTACCACTTGAGCTAGAGCGCCACTTCTGGTTTTCTAGTGGTTTATTGGAGATAGGAGTCTCACGGTCTCTCCTGCCCGGGTTGGCTTTGAACCGCGATCCTCAGATCTCAGCCTCCTGAATAGCTAGGATTACAGGCGTGAGCCACCAGCACCCGGCTCCTAAAGATTCTTATTTCCAATAAACCAGCAAAAAAAGTGGAGGTGTGGCTCAAGTGCCAGAGCATAAACTGTATACAGAAACAAAGCCAGCCAGATGCCAGTGGCTCACGCCTGTAATCCTAGTAATTAAAGAGGCAGAGATCTAAGGATCACGGTTCAAAGCCAGCCCGGGCAGGAAAGGCTGTGAAACTCTTATCTCCAATAAACCACCATAAAAGTGGAAGTGGTGCTGTGTTTCAAGTGGTAGAGCGTTTGCTTTGAGCTGAATTGCTGAAGGATAGTACCCAGGCCCAGAGTTCAAGCCCCAGGACTGACCAAAAAGAAAAACAAAACAAAAAGACCAACACCCAAAACCAAAGCCAAGCAAGAGCACAGGCCCAGAGTTCAAGCCCCAGTACCAGCACAAACCAAAACAAAAACCCTCTCACCCATACTTAGTCTAGTTCCATACCAGAGGTTCTAGTTCCATACCAGAGGTTCTAGTCCCATACCAGAGGTTCTTCTACTTAAGGGTGTTACCATGATTACAGGTCCAAACACAACATGACTTTCGAGTCCCACAGAAACCACAGCACATTTCACCCCTGATCCCTTCCCAGTACCAGCTAACAGCAGCAACACCTCCATGAAACATTTAAAAACGACCTGGTGGGAAAGCTGATCGGACACACCTTCTGCCAGCACTTTTCCAGGATGGCGGCTGCATGGGGTTCAAGCCCCCACGTCTGTCAGGGTCTTCCCTGGGCTCTTTCTCCCCAGCTGACCACAATAGGTCCTCTGAGGGCCAGTACCGAGGGCGGCGGGGACAACTGCGTCCAGCTGGTGGTCAGCAGTCCAATGAGGAAGTGCTACAGGGAAGTGACAGTCGGGTCCCTAGAGCTCTTAGATGCAGCCTCCAATAGTGGGGTTCAAGTCTGCACCCTAACCCCTGCCCCCAGCCCAAATCCCATCGCCTGACTTAGAAGAAGAGGAGAGAACGTGTCTGTGAGAAACCCAAAGGCATTACATTTCTGAGACGGTCTGGAACATCCCTAAGAATAAAGCAGTCAGGTGAACAACAACTACAAAGACTGAAGGCCTGGCTTCAAGTCTGTCTTGGGAAGAAAGCAGGGAGCTTTAATTCCTTTTTATGGCTAGTCCTGGGGCTTGAACTCAGGACCTGGGCACTTGTCCCTGAGCTTCTCTGTGCTCAAGGCTAGCACTCTACCACTTGATCCACAGCACCACTTGCAGCTTTTTCAGTGTATGTGGTACTGAGGAATCGAACCCAGGGCTTCATGCATGTTAGGCAAGCACTCTACCACTAAGCCACCTTCCCAGCCCCTTTAGGTCCCTTTTATCTGCCCCATTCCCCTTTGACTTTCCTGAAGACTTAGCACAAGAGGGCTCCAAAAAGTGACTTCTCCAGCCTTTCTGGGCTGAGACCTCTCACCCACCATGTGCCCATGTGCGCCTGCGCAAAGGTCCACCCAGGTCCGCACTTCCCAGGGAGTCTGACTGCGGTCCCCTCCCTGCGTGGCCTGGCAGAATGACGCCTTCCAGACACAGAAGGGGGGCCTTTCCCTGTCCTGCTTGGGATCCCCCAGTCACAGAACCCACTCCTCTCTTTCCTGGCTGACGGTGACCCCCATGACCCCCCTGATTTTACTTCTATCTGCTTTGCCCTTTGCGCAGCTGGCGCACTGGCTGCCTCTTCTTCCTCAAAATTAAACTGAGTTCCTACTTTGGGGACTTTACATATGCTGTCCCTTCTGCCTGCTCTTCCCCCACCCCCTCACATTGCTGTGTGTGGTTAGGTTCCTCCAGCTCTTTCAGATTCCAAATCCAATGTCACCATTCTAGGGGAAATTTCCCTGACCTAAGGGGAAGATGATGATGGAATTCATCCTAAAGTAGATGTGATTCTGGCACCCTGCCCTGG